ATTGTACCAGTTTTTATAGTATGAAATCGTATGACCTTTCTTAGTAGTATGAAATCATATTAGCTTTCTTAAGAAATAGATACAAATTTTACCTTGTATCCTTAACTACCAAGATAATGCCAGCATCCCAACACCACTCAACACCTGTGTGAAACCCTCTCATTACCTGGCATCATAGGTAAGCAACTATAGCAAGACCAACTCCAGGGACACTTAGATCAAGAAAGAAGTAGATGGATGATGGCACTATAGAGTCACAGCTGTTTTCCAAAGTAGTAGTATATGTGTGTTAAGCAATGAGTAGTCAAATCGTGTATCTGAACACTTGAAAGGTGTAAGAATCGTGTAAAACCATGTTCAATGTGCCCTGATTTGAGTGGGACACCTCATGCACATGAATAAAGAACTGCTGTTGTAATTCTATACTCTCCATTCTAGCATTTCTCCTCTGTCAGCACAGACCAGTTGCAAAATTTTCAGGATATTCAGGTCCTGTGCTGTGCTGGTCCTCTTGCTCGCTGAAGGTCCTTACACAGCCATAGAAGCCACTCTGTTTTTAAATTATAATTCTGACCCGCAAGGGATTAGCAGTGGCTAAAAGCCACAGACAGCTTGTAACAGGCAGCATTTTCAGTGTTCTCAGCTGGGAATTGTGCCTTGAAGCACCCATTGCTGATGCACATACATGATCTTTTGGCTACTTAAAGGTATCCCCATCTGTCTGAGTGGCATGGTTCCCACTGTAAATTGATGGGCTCTTGCCCTGGAGCATTTTTCTTACACCGTGATGGTTGAAATGGATGAAGAGTAATATGGTGATCACCACCGATACAGAAAACTCTTCTTTATTACTGATAACACTCTTCCTAAAACTTAATCATAACATGATTATTCTGAAAAGAGAGTGCCCAAAAAGTCAATTTAATGTTTTTGTGAATTTCAAACATTGAGACTTTTGGACCTTTTCCTGATTTATTTTTCAGTGTCCATAGTCTTCTGTTATACAGGGCAATTGTTAACATTTCAAGCTAAAGTTGCTTTGATCTCAAAACACATATTCTTAGCAGGAGCTGAAGGTTGTCTGGATAAAGAATGAAGCTTGTGTCAGGTAAACAAGAAGATAGTGCTTCCTCAGAAACAAGCTACATATGGTCCTAGGAACAGATAATGCTGAAAATAGCAGACATATTAATTGGAGTATTTAAAAATGTAGAAAAAAGAATCACTGGAAAGGTTTTTGTTTAAAAAAAGAAAGCCACTGCCTCCTCGATGACAGATTTCAGATATGAATTTATGCCTATATGTAAAAGACATAATAAGCTGTTTGTGAAAACTTTCCACTGATTTGAGGAATAAATGTAGGTGGAATAAACAAACAAACAACAAAAACCACCCAGCCAAGGGGAAAGGAAACCAAGGGCTTGGGAAATAAAATTGAAAGATAAAGAGAGATAGTATGATTGATGAAGGTTTCTTGTAGAATGAAAAAGAATCAGTCAATAATGTCATCTTCTAGATGAATACCAGGTATTTGCCTGGTGACACACCAATAATGGCCAGTCGTTAGATCTGTAGTCTGCTCAGACAGATTGTATTTTACCCTTTTCTACTTATGGATGTGCAGAGTAAACACAGGTTGTGGATCGTGGGCAGAAGTCTATTCTGGCTCAGTCATCAGCACAGCAGTTCCTGTTTGTTAATATTTTTTGGGGGGAAGCACAGCACGGGAAGAAAAGCAGGCAGTCATGTACTGGACTTCCCAGTCCAGCTTGCAAAGGTTTGGACTACAGAAGTTACCTGACACTTCTGCCAGAGTATCAAATCCAGGAAGATAGATAACGAGTCTTTGTGATGAACTCCATTCTGAAAGAAAAAACATACCTAGGGATATACTAACTTTGCATAATATGGATCTTACATGAAGTCCAACATGGATGTGTTTCATAAAGGTTATTAGAAGTCTGCAAAATCAGAAGAATACCCATATTCTTCAGTGCTGAATATTGTACAATAGCATAGAATTCCTGTTGGAGTTTCTGAGTTCTGTGTTGTGATGTTGTTGCTGTTTATAAATTACCACAGGAGCCACCAGCTGTCATCATATAAATTTTATTGGCACTCTGTAAATATTAAATCAGCATGCTAAAATCAAACCATGTGCAGTAACAGCTGATGCTCTGTTATGGAGAGCACATGCACGAGAGAGGTGTGCACTGTGAGTCCCGTGATTCTTACTGCTTACAAGCCCTTTGCTTCCTGAGACTGTTTTCCAGGATTTCTTTTCAGCCCAATTGTGTCCCTTGACCGATATGCAGAAGAGCAGCAAGAAATTTCTGCCAGTGCGCAGAAATCTCTTGGGTTGAGAAAACAGCCTTCTCGACACTATTCATCTTCTGCAGTGCTTTTAAAACCTGCAGGTTGTTACTGCCACTTCTCTTCTGCAGCACTGCCCGCTTCTTTGTAAACCTTGCTGATGTACATAGGAGCCACTTGTAAACTCCAGAATAGGAGCAAAATTCTTGGTGTCATGAATACAGAGGTCTGTGTTAATGTCATGCTGTGCTGAAACAAAACCTGTCCTGACCCAGAAGGGTTGTCAGTCACAATGTCATATACTGAGGATGAGGCAATAGATGTTAAAAGAAAATGTCTCTCAGGCTCTGTTTTCTGTCTGACCTAATCACTAAAAAAATCAAATGCAAGACATGTCTTCTGATCTGTCTGCCTCAGTGGTTGGCATGGTGAAATCTATTGATCCCCCAGCCCAGGTAGGTTTCATGGGAGCTAAGCTAGACCAGGGAGTAGTCAAGTGCAGCGAGTTAGTTTTCATCCAAAGCATTTCAGTGGTGTGAGAAGCTCTGCTCAGGTAACATCCAGCTGCACATGTTCCAGCATTAGCTCATCTAATGCCTCTCTCCATCCAGGACTTGCAGTCCAGGTTCAAGGAGGGCAACAATATCCTTGAATGCTTCCCTATCGCAGTGCAAAGTGAGTTTGCAGTAGCTTCAGTGGAGGGTGAAGCTGAGGTACCACGTTCTTCAGAAAGACAGCTGAGGTACATGCCTGCTCTGTTTGAATGCAGGCTGCGTCCACCAGCTGAACATCAGACTAAATGGCTGGTAAGAGCGATATCCTAAAGCAGCAAGGCTGGCTCTGACTTTTCTTCTTATTATTATTCATTTTAGCTTTTGGTCCATTTTTTGTTTTGAAAGTTGAAGTGCGTCTTGCTGGTGCAATGATTTTAGTCTTGGTGTGGAATATTGATATTTTTAACAATATTCTTGCCTTGAGCCTACTACAGAGTCTTCTCATCCCCATTCTTTCTCATCTGAGCAAAGGGAGTGTGCAGAGCTGTCAGGGAGAGATTTCAAGGGAGCTGAAGTTGGTGGCTGCATACCAGATATTCAAGGAGTTAGGTTTAGCAAAACAGCAAATACGAAATATTTGTCATTCACTATCAATGTTTCCTGTTTCAAGTGGCAAACTGCCTGGTGGAGGACCTGAGGTAGCTTCAGCCCCACACCTCTTCACGTGCTCCATCCTGCAGAGTACACACTCCCAGGCATGATGTGATTATGCAGCTGTACAGACTGGCAGGGGGCTTCTCCCTGAGTAGGGGATTTCGTGGTCTTGCTATTGCAGCAAGGAGATAGTACATTCAGGAGAAAGTACTGCAAGAGATTTCACCACCTGTCAGGAAAACGTGCTAAGGCTTGTTAGCTGACAGCTATGAGGTTAGCTGTGAATATTTCATAAATGGCGAACAAAGTACCAAGCATAGTTTGAAGTATTGAGTACAACTTCAGAGACTTTTCCTTGGAATATATGGTTGTGCAGAATTTGATAAGAGTTTTATGTAACTCTAGCATTTGATGTAATTACAGCCATTAAAGTCAGTTGCATAAAATCCTTATTTGAGATAATAGCCTTTACAGAATATTTTTTTTTCCTTAAGCAATTAGAATAAATAGCATTCCTTTTCAATTATTTTCAAGACAAAGCACACCCACTTGGAACTGAGCTGAATTTTCAGAGAGCTCTGCAACTATGGCTTAGTCTTGTTTCTGTACGACTTGCACAGGAAGTGCTCTGAAATAGAAGAGATCACATTAACAGTACTTCCATTGTAAGCATAGTTACATTGGAAAAGCTTTCATTACAGAAAGCATGCAACCTCTGCGTAGTCACTACTAAATTAAAGTTGTGCAGCTTTGCTGCTGTAGTGGCATTACTGGAAGCATCCAGATATAGATCACACCCTGCACCTTTCTCACCCACATCATTGTACTCACAGAAGCCATCATAGTTTTGCTGAGAGAGCAAAATCTTGTCAGCCCTTGGGCTCAACTTATTCTTAATATGGAATTTTTGGAGACTGAGAAATCTGATCCAACTAACACACTCTTGATTTTGCAGAATACTGTGCTAATTACATGCAACCAGTCATTGCTGGGTTAATTATTCATCCAAAAAACCTACAGCACTAATCTAATTAGCAATTACTACAGCTGTCATTACCTCTTTTCACCTACACAAATTCACACTAGGAATCTGGTCCTGCAGACTCCTTACATGAATAGCAGCCTTTGACTGCAATAATGCTTCAGCACACAGACGGAGCTTTATAAATTAGGCTGAATTCTTTACAGTCCACAATATAGCTTCAGTTCTGCCATCCTAATGTGCAAAAGTCACAGTTTAGCAGTCAATCATATCAAAATCACAAGACTGGAAGATTTTTCTTTTTAATTGACTTGTGATCTTGCTGGAAGTGTATGTGGGTCCTACCTTCAAGTGGTTCTCTGCAAGTATCAAACCTGGAACACACTTGCATTTAATAAAAAAAGAAAATGCAGACAAATATTCCTATATGTTTACATAGCTTTAAAACATCAGTGGTTAGAAGTGTCAGAAGATTTAGCTTTTTCAGATCAGAAAATAAAGTTATAAATAAAGATTAAAAAGTTGGGAAAAGTTGATGCTTTGTGTGATTTTCTTCCTTAGACTTGATTGAAAATGAACACTAATAATCACACACAATAACTCACAAAGGTTTAATAAGGTACTGAGGTTTGAACCTTATGATAAGGCAGGGAGTTGTTTCTCAGCTTTTCCACTTGCATTCAGCATGCTTTAACAAAGCACCTGTCATTAGGGCTGGCTGTGCAATTGGGCATGCACCGTGAGGAGGAGCCTCTACTGAAAAAAACATAAGTCAAAAAGAATTAATATGTTCTTTGGAATGATATGGTTGTGATAATGGATAAGTACAGAAAACCCTCCAAAGCTAATGGAAAATGCCTTAGGGGACTTAAAACTTAGAAAACAAGGTCATAAACTATGTACACTTGACAGGTAGAGTAAATAATTAAATCGAATAATCAAGTAGCTTAAGACAGTTTGGAGAACTGCCTTGTTTAAGGTACAGGATGTATAGGAACAAGAACAATGATATATACCAAGCTAAGTCTGCAGGTGGTTGTGAAGTCAGCGCTACCTCTATGCATGCTCCAAGAGAAGGGTCACCAAGAGGACTGCTGATAAAGTAGAAGACCAGCAACCATGAAAATACCTCAAGATGACCATGAGAGGACACCTGTGGACCAGTGAAGAAAGGAGCCAAAATAGGCTGGACTTACGATAACTAGTTCTACGAAAAGACATGTTTATTCGTGGTAGTTAGGATGCATATGTATTATTATAGGGAATAAAAAGAACTTCTAACAACTAGTGGGAATCTCAGGTGATTCTGAGAGGACCCCGGCACTGTATTAAAGGATACCGACTTAAACATCTTACGAGTCTGTAAGTTTTGTTTTCAGATCACCTCTCTGGAAATCAGTTGCTAGCTGGTGCTACTTTGCCTGTTAGAAAAGCTTTTCTTTCTTTGATCACAACCTGAGCCCGTTCGTGCTTAATGCAGCCCAACATGTAAAGGTGAATTTCTGAGTCAGGGTGCTAGTTCATTTCACTAGCCACACCCTGGTGCTGTGTTGGCTAGCACTAGGCTCAGATCTTTCCTAGCACAGAGTTTTCTCGGCTGTTCCTATAAAGCTGTATAGGTTTTGCCGTGCTAATAAAATCCTTCTGCAGATTTTCTATCTCCCAAGTGCCTTTTTTGCTCACTGAAGTGAGTGAGCAAAGAAGTGAGCTCACCTCAACACCAAGTTTAGGTGTTGAGAACATTACTTAAACTTTAGCTTAGAGTCACTGACAATGTTAAAATTAATCAGACTGAAAAAAGTGCATTATCTTTCCACAATGAATTTTAATAATAATACTAACAAAGCATTCATTTATTATGTTTTCTGTGGGAGTATAGAATTTTTTATGCTGGTTTTCTTTTCGTCCTTCTACTGTGTAACACATTCAGCAAAAAAACCCATGCAGATCAAATGCAGGAATGAAGAAGGAGAGTAAGTGGTTTCTATGGCAAAATATCCATTGCAACCACTAAGTGTCTAAATTGTGAGGTATATTAGTTTTCACTGCGAACTGAAGTCCAGCTGGGAGCAATCAGAATGACCTGAACTAATTGCAGCTTTCTATCTGCCCTATGTCCATTTACATTTTACACTCTCCAGCCACTGTCCTGATGTAAAAGTAGACCTGTTTTTGCAAATAAGAGAGTAAAGCCTTATTTGTGTGGTCAGTAGAGCTATATTGGCAGTCCTTGCAAAGGCAACATAAACCCAGTCAATACATTAGTTTTTTGCACAGATAAATCATGCTAGTTCTTCAGCTATTATTTAATGGCATTATAGAAACAGTGATAGGAAAGTTGGAAAATTTTTAAATGTTTCCCTTGTTAAAGTACACACATAAGCACAGTAACCTTATCTCTGTTCCTTTAACAGTTTCAGGGAAACTGTTATTGTACTGTATACTGTATTGTTACTGCAAGGTACAGTTCTTGTTGAAGCGGAGAAGCAATTCAAGTACAAAGTCTATGTCTTTAATCTATCTGTGTATCAGCATGATGAAAGCTTTAGTTTTTTGGGGTTTTTCTTTGGTGCATTCTTATGATCAAGGAGCTAAGAGGTACTTTACAGAAGTTAATTGTGCTGATGTACATTTGCATGCAAGTCTGACAGTAGAGATCCAATCTTCGGAGTCTCACATCTACACTCTTCTACAATCATGACTTCTTTCACTACTGGGACAGCACTGGTGCAGTTGAGATCCAGGCGTTTCATGGAGAACTTGCTGGGCAAGCAGTGAGAACAAAAGGTGTAAAGATGATCTCCTGGACCAGCAACATGAAAGGGGCTACATTTTCCAAAACAGAGATTATTCTGTACCATCACCTTCTCACAGCTCTCATGAGTAACACCCTGAAACAGAAAGCGGTTTGAAATTTCTGGTACAGGACTGGCCCATGGACTTTGCTAGAAAGCATGAAAGCAACCGCCCACCCCCTCCCTCCCCCCACAGTACTGCATTTTTTCTTCTAGGAACATTTACTTTAAACATGTTCATTTTTCATGTTAAGAAAGCAGTAAAATATAAGAGCTTTTAAAAGCAAACTGTAGTGCTCCTATGGGCAATTCTTGATTAAACAGCAAAGCAAATTCTTCTGTCAGAGCCTTTGTGTGCTGATGGGGGAAAATCTAGTGAGTGGGTTTGTCATATTTAACTTTTAATTGCTCTTTGAGTTCTAAATTTCTGACCTGGTCAAGCAGTCTTACCCACTTAGCAGGACTTTAAACACTTTTTTGGCCCAATGCTCTTGTGTATAAACCACAAGCTAGACTCAACTGTAATCTCCCTGTGGAAGAGACATAATGTTTTTAGCAGGTTTTTTTCAGTCAGAATCTTAAAAGTGCAATGGGAGTTCTGTAATCTCTTCGTTTGCAAAAACAATTCCTTGTATCAGGAGAGCCTGCACCAACTCTCAAGCTGTAAAATACTGGGCTGAAGTTAGTACTTTTATATTGGCGTAACTGTAGCCATTCTGAAGAAAGCTTGCTATGCTACATGACACAAAAATGTAAAATGGTACATGTTTCTAGGCCACACCTGTATTTACACATATCTCCCAATAAAATAAATTTAGTGAGGAATGTGAAAAAACATGATCCTTGACGGACTGTGATTATAAAAACACTTAGAATAAATGTTGCCTCATGAGGAATACAGCAATTTTATCTATATTATTTGCTTGTCTTGATGTTACGATATGACAGAATGACTTCTTCTGTGCATGGGACAATTTACCAGTTCTTAGCACAGAACTAGATGTATGCATCAGTTTTCCAGTTAATAAAGCAGAAAAGAATCCTTGCTTAGCTGTAAGAAAACAGCCAGCTTGTCCTGCAAATCCGTGCCCCAGGACTCTCTTTATATAAGCATATGTATATACATATATATAAAGTTAGTTTGTGTATAGAAACTGTTTTGATATATATTCATTGAATAGATAATTACTTACCACTGCCCTGCTTGCTCAGGCTAGGTCTGTACATCTTTGTATAAAAGAATAAATAACTCTCTGAAAATAGAATGTGTAGCTTTCCAGTGCTGCAATTTAGCAGTTTGCCTCATCAGACTAAAGCTTTTTCAGCCTTTTTCAGTGTTGTTTTTCAGCCACTTACCATGTGAATGTTCTGAAGAGGCCCTGTGACTTAGCAAATGAAGTAACCTGTGTGTCTTCAGTTGCTGATTACAAAAGGCAGGGAAAAAGACACGTTTATTGATCTTGGACACCTGTTCTTACCTGGGAAAAAGGCAGAGTTCTGCAGTTTTCTTGGTGCATTTCGTTGGTCTTGATTGGCAAAATTACCTCTTCAGATGCTGAATTTTTCTTTAACATGAAGTTGTCCCAAAATTTCTTGGCATCTTTTCTATAGGTAGGTTCAGCCTCCCTCTTGCTGGAGTAGTGAGGTGGAGAGAAGTGTTCCACAGGAGAGGTCTCTCTGGGTGCTGCCCAGTTTCTCAGGTCTTGGTCAGCATGGAGTTCTGCATTGGGAAGGATGAACCTGGACTTTTTTTTTTCCTCTTGCTTCTCACTTTCAGATGCTGTCTGTGGAATTGCTACAAAAAAGCTTGGTTTCCCCAGGGTTTCTTCAACACCTAATGGGTTTTCTCCAACCAGCTCACGAAAGTTCTGACTTCCAAGCAGATTTTTGCCCAAATAGAAAAGGTGCTGAAATGTCCTTCTGCTTTTCCTTTGTGGTGAGTCTCGCTGTGGCTCAGTGGCTCCAACACATGAGAGCGCTAACAGCTGAAGGAGAAGCAGGGACATGATCCTCTAAATTGCAGCCCTGTAAACCTGCTGCTATTGCAGTGAATGTAGGGTGCTAGCTTTATACGAGAGCCTGGTGTCAGCTTATGTCTGCTGTCTGTGTGCCGAGGAGGGGAGGGCTCAGGGGTGACCTCAGTGTGGCTACTTGCATTCATTTACTGTAGATTACAATTATGATAGGGGAGTTCATGCTAATTAAACCCTGCTTTCAATCTGAATTATGTGTATTAGAAGTTCCTATCTAAAATCTAGTAACCCAGGATGGCACAGGGGACTGAAGCAGTCAACGGGAGGAAATGTTTGGATAAGCTCTCTACTTTAGGCCTAGGAATTAAAGAAACATTTGAGGTTGTGTATTAGCATGTTCAATGTGGTCTTCATTGTTTATTTTGGTTTTCCATTCCACAAAGCCAGAGACTGTCAAAACAGGGAGTGTTATTTCATCACAACAGGAAAAGGCAGGCTGATTAAAGTTAAACATGAAGCTGGAACTGCAGACATCCAATCAGCCCATGTTTTCAGAAGTTAAGTCTAATTTTGGTCTTCTAGATTTGGAATATGACCCAAGGTCAGCAGCAGCACCACTGCAAACTGGCAGACTGGTGCTCACACACCCAGAGGAATCTGGCAGAGAGGACTAGCCCTTGCTTCACCTCCTTCATAGCAGGTTTTCCAACATATCACTAACCCAGAATAAAAGGTCCGAGGGTGAAGAAACAACACCCCAGATTCTCAAAGACTAACACTGATACATCCTGTTCAGGCAGCAAAGCCACTACAGGAATCCTGTAAAGATGGTAAACAAAATTAAGATCTAAGCAAAATCATGTTAGAACTTACATATTTTATGGTTCTAGACATCAATATCTCAACAGAAATATCTAAAGACTACCAAAACCTACTCTGGAGGTGTCTTTTGCAAAATTATCATGCTATGCAACATGTAAGAAAAAAAAAAGTGATAGAACATCATACAGAGGAAGGTTTTGGAAGACATTGCAAACATTGATCCTAATTTGAAAATACTAAAAGGAAATTCTGCTTCAGATAATTTGTCATTTCTCTACATACTCCTGTTTCTACCAGAAAGAGTCTGTTAATAGACTCTTAAGTTTGCAGCTATTCTTGTCAATTATTCTTGAAAACTTATGTAATCTGTACTAGATGTATGGAATTATTTGACTTTCATTTTTGGGGATTTAGTTTATTGCCTGATAATTGAAGTAAGCTAATTGCCTAGCAACATTCTCATGAGGTACTGACTTACAACTTTAGCACAAAGTTAGTGGAGCTCTAGAGCTTTTCCATACTGCATAATTCACTTGAGCTAAAATTTGTTCTAGTCTTGAGGTCCATCCTGAGACAGAAGTGCATGGAGCTCCATCAAGAACGGGGTTCACAAACCGATGTTAGACTGTATTTGTGCCTTGACCTCCATAGTATGGTCTCATTAAGGGAAGGACAGCTGCAAGCGCAAGCTTTATTGCTCTGTGATTTCAGGCAAAAGCATCTTAATTCTGCCACTGGCTTGGTGCCTTCCTGAAGACTCAAGTGCTTCCTGGGAAGGCAAATTCTCCCACAATTACCAGGAGTGAAATCATATAAAATACTGGCATCTGCAACGAGATCGGCTGTGAGGTGTGTATGCAAAAAGTCCTTGCATCATATTTACACAAGCATGTGTAGCAATAAGGTGGAGCAACAGTGAGTCAAGACAATTAATCTGATTGTAGATAATTAAGTAGCCTAGACATGCAATGTGAATCCTCACATTCTATCTTTATTGGCCAAGTTGAACTGAAGCAGTTGACCTTTGTAACTAAAATCTCTTGTACCTGTTGTATCTTGGTACTAGTAATTCAAAATTATTCAGCAAAGATAAAGACATCATATTTTGAGTTTTATTTCCTTTTTTCTTCTTTAGTTGCTCAGAGAGTTACAAGACTCCACGGATACTCAGACTGATGTAGTACATTGCATTATATTGTCACAGAAGGCTCTGACACATTTGGCAATGTCTTTCAAACACAAGAATTGACTGTTTGAAGCAACATATATTTTTGCAGTTCTGTGCTTCAGAATTTAAAAATATAAAGCTAACTAAAACATGCGATGGCGAGGGAAGACAAGCAGTCGAATCAATATGATTGGTAAAGCAAGCTTCAATTTTATTTGGTTTGCATCAGACTTTTATACTGTTAGGGTAGGCGGGTATACTTATCACTTTATTATTGGTTAGTAACTTATACTTGTAAGCGTTCTATTGCTAGATAAAGCTCTCCATCTCTCTTGCTAACTTCTTCTGCAGAGTGTGTAGATGCTCAAGGACACGTCTCTGGGTTATACTTTCTTATCACTATGACTTGCTACTTCATCTGTGCACAGTTTAAAGCTTGTTTATCTAACACTGTGACTGCTTGCACAAGTTTCCCATTGAACTATGCCCTTGTTCGTGCAGCCATTCTGCTACAAAAACAAATAAAAGATCATTCCAGCTGGATTACAGGAACACAACAGAGGTGTTCTTTCTGTTTGCTTTTGTCTCTTTCAACTATTTTTCACTTCCTTTTCCAGGAAGTGCCTTTTCTCTAAGTCTAGACCAGTGATATACCAGCTCTTTCTGTTTAAAAGCTTCAGCTATGGTCTTGATCTTGTATTGTCTGCACTTTATCCATATAAGCAAAATTGCATTAAATTACTCACATGTATGTTTGCAGAATTGAAAACTAAGTGCCTGAAAGGCCCAGCTTACCTCCCTTCAAAGCCTTCTTTAAAAATCGCACCACTTTCCAGGTAAAAGAAAAAGGTTTTTAACTCTCAGTTAAATTTTACACCAATCTGCCTTGAAAGAAGAAAAATGTGTATACGTGTGCAGGTGTATTCTGCCCTTGTTATCTGATGTGGCTTAGGCATGGTTTGGTGCCTAGATAGCATCTTAGTTTCTGCTAGAGGGGTGCTGTTCTTTGTAGCAGGAATATGAGCAAAATAATTTTAGTACTGTAGTTTACATAGGGTTCTTGCTGCAGCTCTTCACAAAGAATAATCATGTTGCTAGCAATGCACAGATAAAAATGAACAAATGGTAGTACTGGAATTATTTGGCTGCCCAAACACTTCTGTCTAAACTACACTGGTCTGGTTTATTGGTGCAGTGTAAATATTAACAAGGAATGTATAAAAACCTTAGTACTGGCATATATATACAGAAGTTAAGCTGCTAGTGTTACATTTGCAGTGCAATGGCAAAAACCTCTTCAAGATCAGGATCCATTCATGGTATGTACCGTTCTATCCTGCAATGTACAGCAGGACAAAAAGTCTGCCTTAGAGGCTTCAGATGTAGAAACACAAAATACTACTTACAGAAGTGTAGGAAAGAAGGCTGAAACAAAGCAGGGTCAGCAAGTCACTCCGAGAGCCATTCCGCAACCCAAAGGCGGAAAGCAGAGCTCTTGTCTCCTCTAGGTCAAACCAGTTCTAGCTCCTGGGTTTTCTTGGGTGGTTTTACCTAAGATCTGCTGAGAGCCAAAAGCAACATGGCAGCTCTGCCAGGCCAGTCTCATACTATTCCTTCATGCCTACGATAGTAAACATTGCCTGCTTTGCAAGAGACAAAGTTGATAAGAAATGGGACCTGATACATCTGGGCAAGCTGGTTGTATATTTGCATATTGTCTAAATCTGTTTTGGAGTCAGCTGCCTGAATAACCATGCACAGGTTGCAGATCCATCCTCAACCTCTCAACTCAGCCAGGAGCCTGCCTGCATTGCAGGAAGGCATCCCATCTCAGACAGCGAGTTTGGAGAATGACTCTGAAGATAAAAATAGTAAGTAGGTCTCTTTGTGGTGACATCAACTGCATAGACTAACAACTGACAGCAGAGATTGGACTGGGCACATAATTATTATGTTCCAAGTACAGCTAATCTCAGATTTCTACAAAAAGCAATGCAGTGTCTTTTATAAAATCTTGTTTTCCTGCCTAATTACCCTTTCATATAAGCATAGCACATGTTTGCACTGTATTTGCGTTGTTAAATCTTGTGGCTAAATGCAGCGTTGTCTTTCAAGCAGGCTTTGATTTATCTTCATAGTAGCAATTTATTCAGGACATTCTGTTTTCACTGGAAATAGTGACTATGAATGTTTGCCCATCATTTTAAAACTCTCAGGTCCATAGATGACAAGCGCTATGCAAATGCAAAGTGGTATTATTAATTTGTTTCAGAACTGGAGTTTATTCAGTCATTATGAACATAAACTGAGTAATTAGTTACACTGCCAGTTGATGCCTAAAAATAATTCTTAGGGGCTGCTTGAATTACTTGCCTTCTGTTGAGCTAAATAGTCTCATCATAGAATGATTGATGATTAAATCATTAAAATCGCTTTTATATATTACAGCCCATTTCAATATCCTACAATTTTCAAAACATATCCTACGTAGACAAACTTGTATCTTGATATGTCTTTCACAGAACCCATATGAAGACCTCAGAACTAGTGAATTAGCACTATGCAGTTTATTCTCCAATTATTGTATTTACCAAAGAAAGCCATCTGTGGTCTTTGTTTTACTGGGTTTCAGGGAAACAGATCACATACTGGCCTCATGGGAATGTTATAATTATGAAACCAAAAGGCTTTTTACAAAGTATGATATGAAAGAACAGACAATAAATCTGTTTAGTTTTGTACCTTCAAGCTTAGATACTGTGCATCATGAATTCTCCCTTTAGTATTTACTTTCAAGTCTGCTATTGCATTCTCTCTTTCTTCACTCATTTATTCCTCCCTGTTCACATTTCTCTGTTTCTTTTCTCTGTGCTGTAGCAACAGAACTGGGAACAGTCTCAAGCTTCAAACTGCTGCCAAAAGGTAGGTGCTCACACTTGAAAATGTTTGCATGTCTGTCCAGCAGGATTAGGGTAAGTGTCCTTTCATGTGTATTGGCCCATGTTCTTGTAGGTACACATGACACAATGGATGATTCTCTATTATAATTCTCAGGCTGGTAGATCTTGGACCTGTGTCCACCTCCTGAAGCATCTTCTGGATGGTACTGGCACATATGTGCTGCCCAATTGAGAGTGTACCCAATTCCAAACCCATCCAGAGGAATGATGGGTATATGCTTGACTGCTTCAGGTTGTTAAGCTGTGGGACAGTGAACCAGAGGACAGAGAGTCTGGGCAAAGAGACATTTCAAGCTTCAGGAAAAGACATCTTTCTCAGATTGCCAAGAATAATTTGAGAGAGCAGTGGTGATTCACTGAAGAGTTTGACACCACCAAGAAAATGTATGTAACGTAATCCAAGTAAGAAGGTGCAGATAAGGTTTCTTTTGTTAAAGTAAAAAGATACTTAGACTTATCTGAAAATTTCATCTGTATGAATAAAATTATATTCTTTTGCTTACTGTGCTTATATCCAGTACTTCAGATACCAGATTCTTATTCATTAGGGTGACCACATTATGTCTACACTATAAAAATAAACAAACGAGTGTTCTCGTCTTCTAACGTTATACTGCTTGTGTACTGATGTAGAGGATACTAGGTATGCAGTGGAATTAGAGAAGCAGAGTTCTCCATATTACAAACAGCACAGCTTTTTAAAGGGTAATAAGAGAGGAAAACTGACATCTGCATCTCTTCCATGAAGATGACTGAGGTTGCTGAGGGACAATGACTTTTTTTTTCACATTCTTGTTTAAATCAAGGATCATATTAAAATTCAACTTTATGGACTGACAGTCTCTCTTATATATGTGCTAGCATTTTTTCTTTTAAAAATGTTTCGCTGATGATACAAATGTCCTTAAAGTATTAATTCAGTAACAGACTCATAAAGACGAAACAGAATGCAGAAACTGCATAAACAGTATGTATATTATGCATTTCTACAATGCTCAGAACTATTGTTTTTATCTCTAGTAAAAAAGCTTTTGTGAGATTATGAAACTGAAGAAATACATATTCACCAAAGCATGTTTCAGTTTTGTATTAACACACATTACAAAGTTAAACATCACAATATATTTAATGTTGTGAATACAAGAATTACAATAGCACCAGTCATGTGAGGTAAATAATGTAGAATCACAGTATTTACTGAATGATATATGTAATTCTCTCAAAGCTATTTTCCTAATTTTAGAATGAGTGAATAAAGTCTTGAAAGCATTCAGTAAGTTTCAGTGTGTACAAAAGAGATCTGGAAAATCTTCTGATATTTTTCAGATTAAAAACTTGATTAAAGATTGCAGATTAAAAACACAGATGTTTTAGAATATTTTGGTTTGGAAGAAGTGCTGTTCTGGCCACTTGCCTTTCCATTTTTTTCATAACCATTGTCTTTGAGTCAACTACTCTGTCAAATTTGTTTGAAATTAGTCAACAGATTTAAAAGATACTTGACAGGGAGAAAAGGTGGTTAAAAGCAGCAGGCACACAAAGAGCTCACATTGCCCATCCCTCTACAGAAATCTAGGCTAGCCACCAGGTTCTTTTCACTGGGCATCTTGGTTCTGTTGCACTTAAAAATAATATGAATAGTTCTGGTGAACAAAATCCTTCAGTTACCCAGAGGGTATGGCATCCACAGGTTAACACCAGAATTTACATGCTTCTTGTTCTTCTTTTCAGCCTCTTGAAATCCCCCTGCTGATGCTGATCCTCTGAATACTGATAATCCCCTGAGTTTACTCAGAGTCAGAGTTACTTCAAAAAGTATTGAAGACTGAAAAAACTCCCAGTAAATTCTCAGGATTTTAGGCCCTTTCTTTACTAAACCTCTTAGAGACAACAACTTCCTACAGCAACAGAAAAACTAATTTTATTTGTGCTTTCTGTTATTTGACTATGTTGTATTCTCTAAACATCAGTATTCTAATAAAAGCTGCAAAAACCTGTGAAAAAATACTTCATATTTAAGGACAGAAAAATTAAAATTTATGAATAAATGTTTGAATAACTTGTTGTGTTGAAAAACAATTCAGCAGCTTTTCAGGGCGGAAATATCCTGGCACCGCAATAAGAATTTTAGTTTTATTAGTGTGTTGTATTAGATCTAATGAAACTAGTAAACACACACAGTTTGCACAGCTAACAGTCTGTTGTGTATTTAAATTTTCATACTCTTCAGTGACTTTAAAGTAGTTCAAATGAAACATAGAGAAGGGAAATTCTCCCCTCTTCTCACAAAAGCAGACCTCTGAAATCACTGTTGTCTCAGACTAGGCATGAATCATTTATTAGTTACTGATCAAGAAACAAGAACTTTGGTAAAAATTCCCTCTCTGTTTATGTCATTCATGGATTAAATAATGACAAGTATTTTAATAATCTTTACAGGCTTTATCAAGGTAGCACCAATAAATTCAAGAGCTTTTATAAAAAGAAGGCCCTAAAGAAATAAAAGTTTATGTCTAATCAAGTTCTCTTAGTCAATTTTCCCTGGAATTCCAGAACACAACAGCAAGAGATCCCAAGAATGCTTTTTTAGATCCCTTTTTTTTTTTTCAGTGAAAACTATCAGAAATAAAAGGCGGTTCAGATGGGTACTCTGGGATACTTGGTTTGGGGAATTCTTCAAACAATTAGCCTATCTATGTTGATCTATACAACTCCTTAAGCAAAAGTGTTAGTGTCTTGCAAAAGTGTCTAGAAGTTTGACATAAAGATTACCATGACAAAAAAAAAAATAAATCCTAGAAATAATTTTGTGTCTATTGATAACAACAATGTTTGAGGAGGTTCTGCCCACAGTATTTTCCCTCAAATTTTGCAATGCATTCATGCTTATCTGCAGCAGTCCTTTCAGAAAGGTTTGCTCCTATGTACAAAGGCTGTCCAGTTACTCACATACATATTAATTTAACATGTCACAGGCAAGGAGGAGGGATAAATAATCCCTGAAATCCTTGAAAATTGTCCCTCGGCCCAGAAAGGAGAAGTGATTCTGCTGCATCTGTCACTTGCAGGACTGAGCAATTGCTGTCAGGAGCTCCAGGAGGAGGTTTTGCACCTCTGGTGCAAAGAGTGTGCAGATGCAATTGACACAGAGGCTGGGTTAGCAATGTGAATCAATATGCAGCTCTGTGTGATTAGTCCCATTAGGTTCTGAAACTGGACTTGGGAGGTAGAAAAAGAAATACAAGGCTTTGCTTCTGTTGATACTCTTGTCACTAAATCCTGCCATTGGTATTTTCATAAGACATTTTGCAAGGGTATTGACCAAAGAAACCTCGGTATCCTGACATAATAACCCTCCCTCATCACCCAAGAGGATCTGTTTTCAGCCAGCAAAATCTGCCCTCATTTTCACCCCAAGCAGTCTTCCTTTTTTTTTCTTTTTTTTTTCCTTTTTTTTTTGTGACTGCAAGGTAAAACTGCAGGTTTCATTGCAAAATAATTCAAGCAACAGTCAATTCAAATGCCCTCCTTAAAAGCAAAACAAAACAACTTACATGCTACTCTCTTTTCTGTGGAAAAAAAAAAAAGTATTTTTACAGAGAAATGTGATTAAAGCCTTCAGGCTTACCTCTTTGGTGTAAAAATACATATGAGTAACTGACAGATCAAAGTCTTCGGGGAGAGTTCAATACCTTAACCTGGACTTAATCTTTGCGACTGACCTCTATTCCTTAGTTAGAGTCCAATGCATCTGGACCTCTGGCAGCATATAAAATAATCCTTGCTGGTAATTAGGACAGTTTTCTAACTGCACACCCTCACATGTCTGCAGATAAATAAAACTGAAACAACGTAAATGTCCACATGCTTTCACAGGGATCCTCCATTCTTTACAGCTTTCTTGAACACACATAGCTGTTACGTTTGACCTTGCTGCAGTCAGTTGCTTGCCATTTTCCTCGCTTCTGCACCAACACACAGCTTCTTCCTCTCTTTGGAAAGTGGTAGGAGCCTCTTCTCCAGTTTGTGTAGGTTACAGGTTCTCCTCCATTCCACTCCCAGTGTCCGGGATTGACTTGGTCGTTCAAGCCTATGTGAAATCGGTAAGACCAAATCAGTGATGTTTATTTTCTCTGAGGCCTGATGCCAACAGAAGCATGTTGTTCTATCCCCTTGTTAAAAAATGCATACAAAATTGTGGTGAGGGGAAAAAACCCATCTGAAACAATACAAGTAAAATACAACTTAATATTTCATAAGGCCATCTGAATCGAAATTAGTGCCATCTGAATAAGGGAAAATATACTTTTCTGCATTATTGCCTATCTAAAATGTTTTATGTCTTTACAGCTGTTGTATGTCTATCACCTTCCACGTTTCTCTTTCGGTACTTAGTGTGCCAAGCAGAATGTTTTCATCAACTCTGGGAAGCCTCAGATGCCTTCAGATTAATTCTGAAAATAAAATCCTGCAGATCTTTGTAAATCTTGTTTACACTTTTGAAATTAACAGTTGTAAAATTAGATTGTGTTAATTAATACAACCTAAACCATATTTTTTCACTTGGCCTCTGAGTTACTAAGACCAATGTGGGTGGCATATTTTCAGACATGATCTGTCTTCTTAGCTAGAAGAGATGAATATCAGAAAATTGATACAACGGTCTTGTAGTATTATTCTCATCAGACGAGCTTATTTTTCTCAACAGAATTATGACACCATTAAACATGATCCCAAACTAACTGTAATTTTTAAAGTTAAGTTAGTATAGCTAGTAAATCCATCTCAGAAAATTACAAAGAGCTGAAAATTGCAGAATTGAAAAAAAAATCACCTAAAATGTGGACAATATAACAGAAACAAGAAGTGTTAGAAGAAAGCAATAACATTAGGCCATGAGCTAAGGCAGTTGCCCACAGAAAGGGATTATGAGGTGGAGAGACGGCTCTTCTGAGTTCTTCCCATTTCTCATGAAATGAAAGGTGCATAATCAGAAATAGATAGCTAAATCTAAAGTGATGTGATGAAATCTTCTTTAGCTGGTCATCTAATTAATTCTGATACAAGATGACAGCACGAAATTAGAGGTAACAAATAATTATTCAACGTAAAGTAAAAAAGAAAGAGAGATAAATAAAGTAAAAGCCAAAAGAAAGGTGAGATAAAGAAAAGAATAGGAGCTCCACCAGAACTTATTTTACTAGCTAGTCTTAAAATGGGAAAGGCTTCAAGGCAAAAACAACCCAACAACAGACAACATGATAAACTCTTCTTTTTGATAAAAACTTATAAAATTAGCCAGGTAAATTATGGCTTTCAGTTTATGTTTTGCTCTGAAATAATAAAAACAGCAGAAAGTTGAGGACAATGCAACATTTGAAAACCAAGCAGGAACTGCTGTGGCAGTTTCTGCTTTCCAAGGTGCCCAGGAACTGTAATCCTCAGAGGGGACAGGCGGCTGATGTACTTGCCTATCCAAAAGGGCTTCCTCCCACTGAAGTCCCACAGCCACTGCATATGTTGTTCATTAGCCACGCTTGCTAGACTCCCCAGGTATCTAGGCTCAAGGAGAGAGGACAGAGTAATTAGCATTCCACAGAGTGACAGACATCTCCAATTGACTTATCAACAAGGGGCACTGTAAAGCTTAAAAATAATGTTTCACAGGAAAACCACTATTTAATAGCATGAAAGAATGCTTATAGGAAAAAAAATTCTTAAAATTCTGGATTACTTGGAGAGGAACCAAAATCCTAGCCTGATTTTTCTAACAGAAAAATTAAATCAGCTGGGCAACTGATTTACAATGTATACAGGAAATGTGTACCTTATACTCACAAACTGTGTTTTAAACCATTGACACAATCATTGATACGTTATTTTATTTAAAATAATACTCTGCCCACGCTAAAATCCAAGCCACTGAAAGATACAGCTTCACCCGTTTTAAAATCTTGGCCATGTTACTAAACAAGACTAACTGTGGAATTTAGGGGTTGGGCTTAGAGTGGTGGTGTGATTCTGGGAGGTGATGTTGGGTTGTATGCAATGACTGTTCATTTAGTTCAGATCAGAGAGCAGTTGTGGTGTGTATTAACCAGTCTATTTCAGAATGAATCCAATCTATAAGCTCTGCTCTGTGTTTGTAATTAAGGTATGCCAATCCCAAAGGAGGACTTGCAAACCCTAGCCACGGAGTGGCCTTGCCACTGCAAAGTCTTCCAGCTAGTCCCAAGCATGCAAGCACCAATAGTCTGCTCTTAAGCCATTCAGAGATCAGGCTGAAGCCTGAAGCATTAAGACACAAATGGCATCCTTCACATTTGCCAGGAATCATCAGCCATCAGTGGCTCCATTTTCTTATTTGTCCATCTTTTTGCCTGCCTTGATATCATGTCACCTTTTTACCTGTCACACCTGCTCTTGCCTTCCCTCCGATGCTAAGCCTCCATCATTTCCATTATCCCATATTTCTGACTGCCACTCACTCTAACACTGATGCCAAGCCCTTCAGCCTCCCAGAAAATCCTGGAGAACGCTTGATAGGGCCCAAACAAAGAACACTAATGATCAAAACACATTTTAAGAGAGCCAAAATCTTTTCTAGCATCAGAATAAGTCAAAGGCATTGTGATGATTTTGCTAATTTCATGACTGTTTTCAGATAACAGAGACAGATCAGTATTGCTCCAAAGGAGGTTAATACTCTCTTCTTTAAGACCTGGGACAAGAACCTCAAGAGTGGCATGACAGACTTGAATCCACTATGGAAACCATGAACAGATCTTAGGGTGTAAGCCCACCACCAAGCCTGCTTCCCAGTTAAAGAACCGTGCCTGGAGCTCCGTTCCTGTTTGCTGCCTTGTGTCTCTTCTAACAGGACTGATCCTGTTGATATCATATCATAAGGGATACACAAGACAGGGAAACAGGCAAATTTTACATCAGGAGGGGTTCAAAGTATTAGCCCAGAATACTTTGGACTGTCCTTACTGCAAAAAGTGTGGACCATTCCTTGATTTGGGCATACAAGGGGATGACATTGAACAAATTAATTGTAATGCTGATGGGATGCTTCTGCTGCAAAGGCCTCCTTCATTATCCCTGCAGCCAACCAAAGCAGCAGGGTATTTGCCCTCTGCTCTGCCTTGCAGGGTGAGTCTGCCAAGGGCTTCTAGACAGCTGAGTGTTAGCCCTCACCATCTGTGTAACTATGGCTGCCCTAGACCAAGCACCGCACAGTAATGTAGGACCCATCAAGGGCTCCCTAAGTTCAGGGTCACCAGAGAATAAAGTGTAAAGGATTTTGATCACCTCTGTGTGTACTCTCCTGAGGAGAAAGTGTCGCAGGATGACCTCAGAAACACTGACCATAACTTTACAAGTGGCAGACTGTCCCAGCTCAAAGTGGTTAGCAGCTGTCTGGTAGGGGTCAGGATTGTGCACCCGCTTATGATACAGGCTCCCAAAACTTCACCCAGTGAAGCTCCCAGCAGAGGCTTTGACTGTGCTTCTTTCTCATCATGGTAAAGTCTCTTGCATGGCGTTGATGCCTCTGTGTCCCAAGGGTGGCATGCTTCCGCACCTCTGGGCCCATCTACCAGGCACCAAATCTCCCATTAACCAGGAACAAAGGTGTTACACTGACAAAAACTCTAGGAAATTTTTGTATTCCACCTTCCTCCTCAAAAGGTCCAGAGAAGCAGGCTTAGTTAATTCAGGGTGTCCTCCCAGGGTAACTGATTCAGCGACAGGATGCCATTCCTCCTCACAGTGACTGTGATTGGCCACTGACCAAATGTTGGGGGTCTAAGAAGAGGTTTGGGCAGCACTCTCTGTGGTATCAGTACTAACTCAGCAAGAACAGAAATAAGGCATTTTATCTGGCTTCTACTTAGGCACAATCAAAGCCCTGGAACTAAGTCATTAACTTTAGGTAAGCATGGCTTACTCCTGTCATTTAGATTGGTTTAGAAAATGTGAAAACAAAAACCATCAATGTGTAACTGCTATATCATTTATGACATGCAGGGATGGTCTGAGCAATAAGCTTCAGACTTCTCCTTCAATCAAAGTACCAGGGAGAGACTGAAGCACTATGAAAGGAAAGCACTGTAATAATTATGTTATCTAATCTTCTCTCCATAGGAGTGCTTTCCAAATACAGCCTGAGAAATATGCATGACTGAAGAGAGAACAACCATTCTAATTGTTACACCTAGTCAGGGGGTTTGATGTAGTCAGGGGGATTGATGTATTGTAGCGAAATTAGAACAGTCCTGAAGGGTCATACCACTTAAAATAGTGTCACTAACTCTACCTCTAGGCAGAGCGCCAGACGCAGGAAATGACAAGATAATGTTACTTATGGAGTTATGTAAATCTAACACTTCCTGATCTAAATTACTTTACAGAAGGAGTCATAATGCTTTATTGAAACAAACAAACAAACAAAAATAAGTCCGTTTGAAATTATTCCTGTGTGCTTTAAAATTTTTGCTATCAAGTCAAGAGCATTTGTCATCTTTGAGCAGTTGCCCAAATTAATGTAATATTTTGGGTAGCCTTTGACCTTGAAGTATTATATGCAAAACACTTACTACAAAGACTTCGCTGATTTTACATTAATTTATCCAGTACATTTAAAGGAATTTTTTACAGTTCTGATAAATATAACTTCAGGAAGAGTACACTTGACTAGCTATGAAGGTCTCCAAAGAACAAAAGGACATTTAATTTGAACTGCTGTAGTAAATCCATGTCCTATACTGGCAGTGAATGAGAGAAGTCACTGAGAGGCTCTGCTTATCTCAGGCTTTTTGTCTGATCACCTAGGGAGTAATCCTGATGCCTTGAAATAGGTGTCTAGTGTTGCTTGCAACACCTTGCAGTATTTAAAACATCCAGGTGATGCTGGCGGACATCATGCAGAGCTTACAGGAGCCCTACATTTCCAGATCGGCAGGTAAAAGTCTGACAAGATACCCTGGGTCTTTAAAGTGACTCTAGGTACCTGAACCCCTATGCTGGAGTCACTAGCCAGAATTTGAAGCCAGTCACTTACAGAACTAGCACAGCATTAGGAAAGGAGGGCGGCAGGGTCCATCCTGCTTTGCACTAGGCAACACTGAGCCACCATGAAGGATCTAAGCTATTATTTTAAATGTGTATCTGCTTGTGATTCCCTAGGACTGAGCCCACATGATGGCAATATACAAACACCAAACAAAATAATACACCGTGCCTTACAAAGCTGGTAGTAAAGGATCTGAAATCTGGTCATATTTAGGCTCTAATTAAATGTCCAACTTCAGGAAGATGAAGGTATAATCTGACTAATAGAGCAAAAGATGCAACTGTGGGTTCTGTCTATCCAGTGGAGAGTCCTTTCAGTGGCAGCATTGAAACCATCTCACATGTGAGCAAGCCTGGCTGTGCTGACCCTTGGGGAGGACACGTTCCTATGGGATAAACAAGAATTGTAACATAAATCACCAAAATTGCTGCTGTGGGATCAGTCAGCCATAATATCCCCCAGATGCTTCTTTTCATGTTGCCCAGGGCCTCTTCATGCATAGGAAACAAAGGTAGAGAAATGCATACTTAAACCACCTTTCTCTCCAGTGTACTGGAGAAAGGTTAGAAATGGTGCAAGATTTTCACAGCGCTTAGCTGGGATTTTTTTCCCACTTTAACACTCTAAGTGTTTCCACTTTAACACCCAAGTTATCACCATGAAATACATCAACTTGCATCAAGACAAGCACATTTTTGTGCTTCTGTTCCTGCACACAGAAACTGAAGAAAAGGTTGATGTATCACCTGCAACAAATGGATGGAATGTATGTCAAGGCTCATTAGAAGGCTTTGCAGAAGCACATGTACATATGGTTATCTCCATACAGCAATTGCTTCTGCTTCTATTTGATGAAATAGCTTGGTCTCAATTCTGTCATCTCAGAATAGCAGTGATTTCCAAGAGGTTAGGTGGTTGGTTAGTTGGAGACTATTACTGAAAGAGTTTTAACAATGCTTGTGTCTTTTTCCTGTTCTATATAATAGAAAAAGTCTAGCAAGAAAAATTAATAGAAGTTTAAAGTAATACCTTTTCTTGTAATAAAAAATATCCTTATTTTTCTGGGAAATGGGCTGATTTAATGAAAGTCAATTCTAGTATCTTAATTTAATGTCTAATGTTTGTTTGGTCTATAAAAAAACCTGAGGATTTACCTCCATGCTGATTTTATTTGCTAGCTGGAAGTATCAGCTATTTAAATGTCAACAGAAGAAGTATTAATAACAGAAATACCATGATTGGTGGTGGTGGTGATCGCCAGCAGGGAGCTGGGCAAAAGTACAAAATAAAATTTAATAAGTTATATTCTTGAACCACTTTTAAGCATGACCTGGGGTTGTACTTTTGTAAATCAATTCCAGATGGAGGGCAGGAGTACTCCATTTACCAGGATAAAGCTTCCTTAGCCTGTGGTAACCTAACAGTAACTGAATCATCACTGCCTTAGGATTCATTCACTTGTGGATTCAGTGATATGCCTTAACTTTTTGTACAGTTGTTTAACACTGTCATTAATTTACTGCTATTCAGTTTAACTTCTACATTGAACACTATAGCCTTCAGCAAGAAAGTACCACCTACAAATCACAGGAGTCACCAGCAGCACACTATTTTTTGAAATGGGGAACACCTCCCAACAGAGAAACATAAGTTCCCAAAGGATCAGCTGAATGTTGAAGCCTTCAGGAAAAAAAAGAATATTGGAATATTCACAATTTACAGCTTTGCTTGGATAAGTAACAAAATAAAAGCAGGTGACAGAAAACCATTTCAGGAGCTGAAATTTTAAGTAAAACAGTTAACAATGTGAAATCTGTGGTGAGCTCACAAGAGCAGGTAACATTTACATTTTATTAAAGAGTAACTTTCATCAGCTGGGAGGTATTAGAACTAAGACTTTCATTCTGTGTGTTACTAAGACAACATAATCTGGCATAACTGGGTGTAATGAATCAAAATTTGTTAAGCTTGCTTGTCCGTGTTTCATGTTGCCTACATATCCTTCAACCACTTATAGAATATATTCTGTTTTTTTCATCTCCAACTCTTCCCTGTTTCAATTTTCATTTCATGGAGTCATGAAGAGATCTGTTAAAGCCCTTTTATTGTTTAGCTTGGTCTTCAACCTGGTGCTCACAATTCAACACAAGATACAGAATATGCATGATCCCAGGGCAATCTCTCTGTTAACATGACTAGTGTTTCTTCCAGTCTTAAGCTATCATTCCTAAAACCAAAATCACAAAGCGACCCTCCAGAGAGCAAGACTGGTGGATTTTCTATTTGTCTCCTACTTTAAGACTACTATTACTATTACTATTACTATTACTATTACTATTACTATTACTATTACTATTACTATTACTATTACTAATTGTTATTAGTATTATTATATTTAGCTTTTCTTTCTCCTTAAAAGTCAGAAATTTACTCTTAAATTGAACATTACATTTTTCAAGTAGCTACAGAACCTGAAGAGCTGCATCTTCAGAGGAATATGGCAAGGCACACAGGAGCTGGCAACATTGTACTGTTGCTGTAACAAGTGAAGGTAGAGCCAAGGAAGTGGTGGGTCAGAGAGGATTAAAGACTGAGTTTTTGCTCTGTCTCCTCCTAAACTAACTCCCCCATTAGAAAAGCATCCTCACTGCAGATGGACAGCTTCAGGAATTCATATTGTGAATAAGGTAGCATCACCAACTGAAACACTATGAGAATAATAATATTTCTGTCTTCCACTGGGTGTGAATCCCAGGGCTTGTTCTATTTTCTGGGGAGCTGTGCAACACAACTAAAGGAGGGCTTATCTGAATGAACTGGGCCTCGAGGGCAGCATTCAGCTCCAGGCAACAGCAGTGCACAGCAAACACAGTCACTTGGAGAAGTCTCTTACTGTTCCCTGCAAGCCCGAGCAGCGGTGTTCCAAGAGACCCTGTGATTCAACACCAGGAAGTAGCAGCTGCCCTCGTGATGAGTCCATCTGGAGAGACATTTCTTTGTGCTTGTCTCCTAAAATAAAAACAGAAAAGGCAAAACGGACTTCTGCTTACAGCGATCCAGGCCTGTGCACTAACAGTCTGACTGAAGGCTGGAGGTGCTGCGTCTGGCCTCCCCAGAATTAAATTGAACATGAATTTCAGTGTGTTTCAATAAAGCTACAACATTTCTTGAAAGATGTGAAGACATAAATGCCTGCAATTTAGAATAAGTAGCTTTAAAGGTGACAGGAGGTTTAACTTCTAAAGCTTCTCTTAAAAGACCACATTAGTGTGAGACCACATTAGTTTGGACACCATTTTCTGTCTCCTGCAGCCTATGTAGAGAATGCAGTGCAACAAAATTCAGCACAACATCTTGGGTGGCAGAGGGGATGTATGATTACAGAATACCCAAGTGAGCTAATTTTACTGACTTCTGCTCATCCTCTCACAGACCTCATTCATGTCTCATGCCCACATCCCCACAAGCACCAAGACGCTAGTGCTCATGTGGTTTTTTCAGGAGCACCTGTGGGTGACAGAGGAAGAGCAGCACCAGCAATCAAGACCTTACCATGCCTCTGGGATACTATAGGAAACCTGTTTCTGGACAACTCTTTTATTCCCTGTACAAGTTAATAGTTGTTACAGGAAGGTCCTTTATTTGAGAGTTTCACTCATCATGGACTCTGTGCCCTGATTTAGGTGCATGGCAACATTTTTACTTTGCTTTGGAAATTCCAGAATTTCCATATTATCCCATCACACTGAAATAACTTTTGAGTGCTTTCTTCATAATGCAAGAGCCCCTTTAAATCTGGTGTACAGGCTTTTGGAAAAGCATACAAGTCCTAGAAAGAGAAATGTCATTTGAACTTTGAAGGAAAGTAATTATACAAAACAAGCAAGCTACATCAAACAGATTAAATAGGTCTTATATTAAAACTTTATTATGTAAAAACTCTTCAAAGGCTGAGTTGTTAATTATCTATTGACTAAACTCAGCCTTGGAGTGGGAAGAGTTAGGCTGCAGATCTCAGAGGTGCTAAATCATGTTGGAAAACAACATGACTGAAAACAGATTATGAAAATGCCTATGAAACAAAAGGTTTAATACCTGATGTCTTGAGCTTTGTTCAGATGCCAGTTCTGCCTTATCAGCTTGTGGGATTTCTCTCTTCCTAGAGGAGACGACATTTCTCTCTGGTTGTGCTTGATCAGTTACTGACACTTGAGCCTTGTTGTTTGCTTTAGCTGATGAGGTGTCATCCTCTATTTTGAGTGATACCATCCCGTGATACTTTGTTTTACAGCATCACACACACAGAAGGAGAATAGGAGGCAAGAGAGAGGGTTAGCACATACAAGCAACTCTTAAATACAAATTGTTGCAAATCAAGGGAAAGTGATACCAAAGAAAAAGCAAGCTACATAGAAAAATAAAGTATTGATCATAATGAATTATTAAGAGTGATAAAGCCTGGAAAGAACATAATCAGAAATAAATCGTAAAAATGTCTGAGCAATATTCATAATACTCTTACTTTTAAAACCACACCAGTCCCGTTTCTAAATACAGATGAAGGACGAAACTGAAAAGGTAAAATAGCAGAATGAGATGGGCATATTCATGCATTATAGAAACAAAAGCTTTGTGGAAGATTTACTACAAGATCTAGGTTACAAATCATACAGAACTTATCTTGGTTTTAGTTCTTTCTCATTTAGAATGGAAACTCATCACTTCTGAAAACAGTAATTAAAAATCACACATTACAAGCATGTTTATAAACAGATTCTGCTAACTTTTAAGACCATAATAGTAGGCTATTACTAAACCGTCTAGCTAAACCAACATAACTTAAGCAAGAAAATCAATGGGCAACTTTTAAGTAACTGTTTCCTGTTCAAGCTAACAGAATTTTTAGCTTTACAGCTTCAGGAATGATGCACAGCTTCTATACATTTGCCTGGCTCCAGTGACTTTTTTCTTCTAGCTGACTCTTAATTTAGGCAAGATTAGAAGCTGCATAATTGCTGAACTTGCTTGATGCATGTTTCCTCCCCCAGCTTTGTTTTTCTGCCTCTCTTGCATACATGGATCTTCAAAATTGGTTGTTTGTTTTTTTTTCTTGCAGTATTTTTAAATAGCTCTCAGGTCTGACTCAGAGCGAACTCAGGTAGTTTATGGTTATTTTATGGTCAGATAAGATCACTACAAAAAATAATAAATAAATGAAGATATCAAATCCCAATAAATTCACAAATCAGTGCAACACTGTACTGCTGAAGTGTCTTACTACTCTGCCATTTCCAATCACTCTCAGCCTGGTCCTTGACGGATTTGCCAAGTCGTGTTTCTGCCATGAGTCCCCTCCATGCTCTCTCATCCCTTTAGAGGGAGGCAGTGGGATCCCTTCCAAGGGAGCATTGCCAGGCCTGGAGGGTGATGAGGAGCCCGAGGAAACTGGAAACTGCATGCCTCTTCCCCAGAAGTTGTGCTTGCTTTGGCCAAGGGAACGGGAATAGCTGCACTGACCTGAAAGCATTGAAAATGACAGATGGTCAGTTCTAACTGCATGAACAGATGACTGGTCACATTGACATGGGCACATAAACAGCCTGTCATTAGAAGTTGGACGATTCTTTCACTTGATGTGGTTGATTTGCTCTTTGTTCAGTCATCTTCATTTGTGGGGTTTGCTTAATTATAGCTGTCTATGACTGCAACTATTACCTGTATATGTATGTTTTTATATGTAATGCATATGCCTACCCACAGATCAGAATTTCATCCAAGCATCTGCAGAAAATACCTGTTTTAATGGATAGACTGGGGGTTGGGATGCTGGTTTTTGGTCATGGATAGACAGGTATCTTTAACAAATGTTGGTGATACTTCCATCATGCCCAGACAACTTTCTCTTCAGAAATCCAGGACACTTATTGATCCTACAAACTAGTTGTGTCAATTAACTCCTGATTTACATTATGAATGCTAAAAAACCCCATATCTGAATTTTTAAAAGGAATTTTTGTAAAATGAAACCTAATTCATTTCAACACAGGTATTTAAAATACAGTTTCACTAAGCACCAGAAGAAAAGACACTCTTCAGCTTTCATAGGACTCAGCTACTTTACTAGTTATTTCTTGTTCTACAGTTGCTTTTTTGCTGTGATTTTAGGCACACCACATTTGATCACTGAAAAACACAATAATAATGTAGACATAAAAGCCTAAACTCTGTAATGATGGCTGCTGTGTGCTGCAATGTTGTGGACTGTGTTTGTTAAGCATTAGAAAATGTATTTCTAAGAGCTGGGTTTAGTTGTTAGGTTTAATTTTTGAGGGGAAAATAAATACTTTTTTCAGAGTTGTATAACAACTGTTAAATAATAATTGGGGAAAAATATTCTAATGAACTTAAAAACATTTTTTTCCCACTTCAAAAAATGAGAACTGAACTCATGATGTTATGAAAAGTGGTTTCGTTTCTGCACCCATCTCAATTTATACTTGTTGATTTCTCCATGCTGTTTCCTAAGAGGATGCATATGATTGTATGAGAGAATAAAGGGTTTGCAACTGTGAAGCCTGTTTTCTCTATAAAGAAATTAATTATCTGAAGGTGAGTGTTAGAAACAACTTGTGTTGAAAATAAGTAGCTACTCAGCCAAGATTGTCCCACCTTCATAATGCTGAGGATCAAAAGAGAATACCTCCTTTTGAGTCTAAAATTTTCACTACAGCTTTTGTCCGGGTGCCAAGAACAGCATTCACAGGGGAGTTCAGAACTACTTCAAAGACTTCATCATCTTCCTCTAATCCATCACAGGTAATTGCTATATTCCATGTCTTGGTTGACATTCCTAGCAGAAATAAACATTTTAATTACTCTTTAAGTGCTGTTTCAATCAATCAATCAGGATGTCAAAGAAATATATTAATTAACATGTCTGCAGCTAGTATGGAGTAGCTGATGTATGCTATTGTGCTGCTACCAACTGACTGGACTCCTGCTGTTCTCCCAAATAACATTAAGTTCAAGTTTGTTCCTTGGTGATGATGGTTCAGATGATGAATGGTTTCTGTATCACAGTCAGTGCTAACATCTAAAATGATTATCAAAGATACATATGCAACACTGTAAAAAACATCTCTACATCCTTATGACACTTAGCAAAAACTCTGTTTCCTTGTTTTTTTCCATATGAATCCTATAGCCAAGAGAAGCTGTCAGTACAAACAGTACAAACAGACCCATGAACTTAGATAGGGTCTTCTGCTCTTTTCCATTACAATCTATTGATTGCATTCTAATATGCCAATCAGTCCAGTCAATTAGCATAGTTGAGGTTTGTTTTTAAAACAAATCTGTCAGCCTTAATAAATAATTATTTAATACTACTAATTAATTTAAATCAAATATCTTGAATTTAGAACTAAGAAACTGATGCCTTGAATGTAATAGTTTGAAAGGTCCTTCCCTAAGGTTAAATCTAAGCAAAGGACTTCCAATGAGAGACTCCCAAATAAGACTTGTGTGAGGGAGCTCAGATGGCATAACTGAGAAGCTGGCCAGAACAGGGTAACAGTGTGCATTTCTCCTATTGACATTCACAGTTAATTTTCATGTGGCTTACCACCGTATTCAGAAAGACAACAACACTAACTCCAACTGTCCAGGCTTGGAAAATCTGCATGGACCGGCAGAAAAGGAAAATTCTAGAAAAGGGGCTTGCACTAAAAATCTCTTTACAACATCACTAGCCATTTCAGCCCAAAAGCTGGTAAGCTTTGCTGCATAGTACATTAGAGGAAAGAGAGCAGGAATCCTGGGTCAGCACAGCATGAAGAACTTAACATTGATCTCTCAGATCTTTCTTTCATCTTCTAATTTAAAACTGAAAAAAACCCAACCTAATGCTCGATAAAGTATCACTGAGAGTGGCTTATTGGTTTCAGAGGTTTCAGGGGTGTTCCAGAAACACTGGAAATGAGGGCAATTTTCCACCGTCCTGCCCAGTTTTTTTTCACTGCTGTCTGTTGGGTGTCCTCCCTTATCTACCTCTGAAAACTAACCAGCAATTTCTCATTCTACACCACGACATAAAATTTGCCTTACTCAAATTTGCCTTACTCAAAATGGGCTATATTGGCAGATTTCCAGAATAATCTGATTTGTGACTCTGAACTAATAACTACAAGTCTTAATCTCTATAGTATACAGTGCCTTTTTTTTTTTTACTTAAAAAGCACAAGTCCTAAGGTAAAAATCCCTAGGCTTTGGCTGAAACTGACTTATTATATTCCCCATATCTGTTTTTCAAATGGAAGTAAGCAGTTAGACTAATTTTTACCATCAGTTACATGCCATTTATTTCAGATTATATATATTTCTCTCATTTGTAGTCACTATGACTTTCTGCCATTGAAATCTTAACTGCTGGCAGTCTTGCAATAACCTCTGCTGGCATTGCAGGCAACACCTGGGAGGCCTGTGCAGACCCCATTTCCTAAACTCAAATAAATCCTGGATTATGTCAACAAGACGTGTTAAGAAAAAACCCTGACTTGTGTATGCAAAGGAAGTGGTTAAGATAGCAAATGGGTTTTCATTCCCAGATAGTCTCTTTATCACAGAATCACAGAATCACAGAACGTTAGGGATTGGAAGGGACCTCAAAAGATCATCTAGTCCAATCCCCCTGCCGGAGCAGGAACACCTAAATGAGGTTGCACAGGAAGGCGTCCAGGTGGGTTTTGAATGTCTCCAGAGAAGGAGACTCCACAACCTCTCTGGGCAGCCTGTTCCAGTGCTCTGTCACACTCACTGAGAAGAAGTTTCTTCTCAAATTTAAGTGGAACCTCCTGTGTTCCAGCTTGTGCCCATTACCTCTTGTCCTATCATTGTTTGTCACCGAGAAGAGCCTGGCTCCATCCTCGTGACACTCACCCTTTAAATATTTATAAACATGAATGAGGTCTCCCCTCAGTCTCCTCTTCTGCAAACTAAAGAGACCCAGCTCCCTCAGCCGCTCCTCATAAGGGAGATGCTCCACTCCCTTAATCATCTTTGTAGCCCTACGCTGGACTCTCTCCAGCAGTTCCCTGTCCTTCTTGAACTGAGGGGCCCAGAACTGGACACAATATTCCAGATGCGGTCTCACCAGGGCAGAGTAGAGGGGGAGGAGAACCTCTCCTCTCTTTATATGGGCAAAACCAAGCTTTTCAGGTAAAGTTGAATTTCTGAATGGTAAATTGTGAAACTCTCAGCTTGAGTGTTTTTTCCCTAGACCCTGGGAGATACCCATAGTATAGTAATTATGTTAATAAACTAAGCAGAACAGAGGAAGTTTTTTTCAGTATCGTCGCACTTTTATTTATTTTTACTATTTATTATCTCCCAGCAAAAATATAAAGCTCCTTTTGATAATACAGTTACTGTCTTTTCTTGTTATTTACACCCTCAGCCAAGGTCAGACTGCTGTTCCAATTACAGTGCAAGGAGAAATGAGGTCTGACATTTTTCAGGTTCTTGGTCTTGGATACCTTACATAACTTAAATTGTACTCAGTTTTGTCTAAATTTGACCAACATCCTGGTCAAATATTTAAAGCATCTCACAACTCAGCTCAGGGTGAGTCCTCCCCAGCCTAGCTATGAGGAGATTAGGAGACATCGCTTCAGCACTTTTGATATTTTAGCTGATGTAAAGGGACCATACACAATTTTACCATAAGTAATAAGGATACTAATTCACAAAGGAAGCCCACTGCACTTGCAGAAAATGAACCCAAGTGTCTTTACTCCCATTCAGGTCCTCTAGCTACAGATACGCAATAGGTTTTGCATTCCAAAATAAGAGTTTACACTTTCAAAATCTGTGAATTAACTTTAAAATTATTCACTGCACTGGTTCATACCTGGATCAAACTGAACAAGCTTAGAGGGAGTCACTGTAAAGTCCTTTCCCATCATAGCAGATATTTCGTTGACCTGAGAAGAAATCAAACAGTAAATGTCAGGCTGTGACATATTTCACAAAGGCACTGCATTCTGCTATGTGCTGAGGCTACTGTTTGCCTCTCCATGGAGTCTCAAAAAGATATGCCAACCCATACATGTGCTTAGGCTGAAAGAAAAAGATAAAGGCCTTAAGAAAAAAACTTGTGATTTGGAACTGTCATTCTGTCCTTGCTCATGGTTTTAATCACATAATCAAAAAAATTTGCTCATTTTGCCTTGTCCCCTCTCAAATTGCCACTTGACAGCATCAGATCAGACTGCTGTTCGCTATGCCTGGAGACCTAGCCATACCTGGCTCCTGGACAGGCACATCGTGGCATCCTGGATCAGCAGCAGAAGCCTGACCACATTTGCCCATTTAGACCTTTGTGAAGTTTGTGTGACAAGCTGTCTGTCAGCCCCAAAGACTTGGTGAGACAGGCATGAACCCCACACATGTAGGTATGGGGACTCCAGCTACTTCCTGAATTTTCATGAGACCGGCAGAGGACATGAGCTTCTACATTGCATACTTGATGCTGAAATCAATTTCACTCGTCTTTTTAGCCAAGTGATAGCCCAAGTAGGGTCACTGGAGTGCATGAAGGATAGGGTAGGATGGCCCCTGATGAAGTCCATAGCAAAATTCCCACTGACTTCAGTGGAAGAAAGATCAAAACTGTGTGTCCAATTAGGGCTATAATCCTGAGAATCTGTGAGGGAAATTTTTAGTATTTTTCTAGCAAGAGAAGCTAGTAAAATGCTGGAATTTCTGTTTTACAAGGAAAGATAAAATTTGTGATGGCAAGTTGCACAATACTTGCTTTACAAAATTATAACCTGCAGCTTTCAGTATAGTTTTTCTGACATAAGACAGAGGCTGTTACTGAATATATAGGAGGTCCCATGGGCTATTGCTTGGGCTGATGGAAGTGGGGAGGGGCTGCCATGACCATGGAGTTGAAGCTTGCATAGCACCTGGGCTCCTCCAGCCTGAGCAGGTAAATGAGATGTCTCGAGGCCTCAGTTACCCAAAGCCTGGATTTTAAAGTGGCAAATGCTGGAAACCCAGCTTCTGAGCACAGTGACAGAGGAAACTGCCTGCTGTGTCACAGAAGGTCGTCAAAACTGAAATACTGCTCCAAAACATTCTCATTTTGGTTAATCAGCATTTCTACTTACAAATCAGAAAGTTTTATCAGAAATTTTTCAACCATCTGCACTGGCAAGCACAATGTCCCAGTAAGTCTGGTTTGAATTGCATGGCCTCTTTGCAGATTACTGAGAAACCTTTTCAGTCTGAGGAAGAAATTAACAGGCTCCACTACTTATTATTAAGTTTCCAGTTAGGAGCTTGGCTTTAGCTTTACCTTCACAGTGACAAAGGCAGACTCTGCGGATTGTCCTGCCCTGGTAATTTTTAGAGACACCACTCCCACGCTTTCACACACTTCATACTCAGTCTGTTGCATTTCAATCCGAGACCACCGTAGCTCCAGCCTGTGGGACAGACAGGAAAGCCCGTGTGAAGCAAAGCCCCCACCCCTGCTGCCCCCACCCCTGCTGCTCCCCGGTGCAGCAAAGAGACATTTCTCTCCTGACTGCTGATTTACTCAATACACATACTGAGTCTTTGTTTCCAGATCAACACATTTTCGTGATTTGGCTGATTAGAAAGAGGGAGAGGAGGTTAATAAATCTTCCGGTCAAGCCCTGGTCTACCCCAAACCAAGCCTGAACCTTGTTTCAGAACCAGAGGGCTTCTGCAGCAACTTTGAGAAGAGCAGTTTGTCCGTAACACCAAAAACCCCAAGAGGAGCTGTCACTGTTTCTTCCTGGTTCCCTTTAACCCTATAGTTTTCTTTTACTCTCACTCCCTGGTATTTTCCCTGCAATATCCTCCTTTCCTCCTACCTTCCTTCATCTCTCCTCTAATGCTCCTTCTCCAGTGCACAGGGCCCATTCCAGGACTTCACCACCTCCGTGCTAGTGCTCTCCCCACTCCCCTTATTTTAATATTCTGTGGACTTCACTCTTCAGCCATAGAAGTGGCTAAGTTCATACACTGAATTTTAGAATTGTTTATTAACATGCTTCACAGGGTAGCCAATAAAGATCTCACCTTTTTAAAAGCTGTGATAAAAATTAGTGGGAGTCAGAGAGAAATGAAAGAGAGCAGAAAGAAGAAAAATGAGCTGTGCTACTTACAAAACAATTCAAACTTTCCTAAAACAAACTTCTAGACCTTTCAGGGTTTACTAGCTCTAAGACCAATGGGAGTTTTATCCTGTCAAAACTCATGTATATCATCTGATACTCATGGTGTGGGCAACACATTTAGAAGCTGATGTGCTTGCTTTCTGTTATAGAGGAGGCATGTGCCAGATGTATTCGAGCAGCATTCAGACAAAAGCTGGCATTCAATTTTAATAATATCAACATGCAAATCAAACTTGTATTTTGAACCAGTGATCAAGCAACCCCAAAACTCTCAGAAGCCTTTAAATACAGTATTAATTCTTTTTTTTCATTAAAAGACAAATTTGCCTTTGTTCTGAGGTCCAGTGCAGCTGAAAGATAAACCTTACTTCTCTGAAACTCCTGTTTTCCACACAAAAAGTGGTTTCTCTTTGCTCTCTTCGTAAAGCTATGTTATGCACTGCTATTTTTATACAAGAAGCCACGCTTTCTCACGGGGAGCGGCAGTGTTATAATGGTGGGTTTTCTATCACTGCAGCTGGGCAGTGCTCAGGCTGTGTTCAGATGTGTTTGTGTATGGGGACATCTTTTGGCACAGCTCGTAACTGCTGAAGCGCTGCCTCTGCTCAGTCCAGTCCCTGTCCTCTAGCGTGCAGGTAAGCGCTCTGCAGAGCAGCACAGCCCTCGAAGCCAGCTCTCTGCTCCTTTTTGCTCACCGTGAGTCCTGCTTTGTGAGTAGCCAGCTTAGCCCAGGAAAATAGCTTTAGTTATTTTTCCCATTTACTTCTGATTTAATAAATCAGTTGGAAGATACAACCCTCTTTTCAGAAATAAAGAGAAACATTACCTCTTTTGGCCTTTATCATCAAAGCACAGTTCAGATGATACCCTAGTCTCTGATTTTTGTACATTACGCTTATCATATGTCACGAGGAAATTTTTATAATATACCTAATATAAATTTTGGCAATGAATGATAAAGAAGGTGCTGTGTGCCCTCCACCTTTTTTCAGTCCTTTTTTGCAGAAGTATAGCTCTCATAGCTTTTACTGCTTGAGAGCATCCCCACCATCGTGATCTCAAGCTTGTGAAAAAAGTGTTGCTGTCAGCACAGCGCAAGAGTGACCTCCAGCTTTAGGACCATATGCATGAAGCAACAGTCCCACCCCCTTATGGGAAATCCCATGGGCTAAGCTGCTTGAAGG